AAAACATCTTTACAAGAGAAAGATTTGGCTAAACCTTAACATTTTCAGACGTTTTAACTGATTCTTTGGAAAACAGATGTTTTTTGGGGTGCTGCAGCCATGGCCCAAGTAGCCTCTGAGAGATTTGGGTGCCGCCAGCCAATGAGAGTCCCTGCCTGCTTGCTGATCTCACTGGTTGAGCAGCAGTAGTTCCAGATGGTTAGAGAACTGTGGTGCTGGCTTGCCTTTCTTGCCCATTTCAATGAGGCCCTCAAATGTGTAGGGAGTGTGTCCTACCGTGTATCCCCCTCCACCTGGCTGTGGGCAGCAAACACCAAGGTCCCCGCCTACACTGGACACATCGTGTGGGATCCATTGCCTCTTCTGCTTTCTCCAGGGGCAGAGAAAGTCACCTGATTTCAGTGGACAGGAAAGGGACATGTTTATAATCAGTAGAGGGTGAGGGGTCACTCTCTGATCTATAAGCTCAAGGTCTCTAAACGATCAACTCTGCTACCAGCTTGGGGAACTGCTGAACACCAAAGACAAATGCTGGACCACATGACTTAATGGCCCTAAATTCATCAAACAGAGGCACACTATCGGGGTGGTCATGATCCAGCAGTAGATGATGTGGTTATCAACCAGCAGCGGACTTCAAATTCCCCAATGCCTCAGTTTCCCTTGTTATACACTAGAAGGGTGTCTCTAGTGCTTGGGCAGTGGGCATGATGTTTTATTCGATTGGGCATACTTTTGCAAAGATTGCTAAGTTGAACAATTGCTATCTTTGTTTACATTGGATTGATGTTGAATAACTGGGGTTATTTAAAGATTTTTCGTAGTTCAGACTTGAGGCTTCAATTCAGTACTTCCTTACTCGATAAGTATTTGTTAAATACCTCCTATGTAGCAGACACTGTCTTGGCACTTTAATCAAAATATAGATAAATGACACTTACTTCGGGACCCTGAGGAGCTTGCAATTTAACAAAGGACAGGAAAAATATATATATACACATACACACATATGTATTTATATGTATACATACCCACATATAAACATACATAAGTATATACAAATACACGCACACCCATACATATATGCCTGTGTGTGTATATATATGTGTGTGTGTTGATAGATACAAAATCCAAGCGTGTGAATGTGATAGTTTAATATGCCAGCCCTGTGGTGATGAGGACACAGGCATCCAGCAGTGAGCCTGACAGGGAATGATGGCTGGGTCTGGCAGAGGGAGAGGGAATGGTTCTGCAGACCAGGCAGTATCCCAGTAGCATCGGAGCCTGGCCTTGCCCTGGGCTGACTGGGTGAGAAAGGAGGAAACGTTGAAGAAGTGACATCACTGTTTGGGGAAGAGTGGTAGGCATTTTGGATGAGCCTAAGGCAGCAGGAGTAGGTGATAAAATGAAACATACATTAAGACAGTTCTAGAGAGTGCTTCGAATGCCAGGCTAGGGTGCGGGCACATATTGGCGATGCTAGAGCCAGGACAAGATGGAGTAAGGAGTAAGGATGACGTTGGTGGTGGGGAACTGGAAATATAGCCCCGTAGGACAAATATTTCCATTTCTGGAAAAGAACTACCAGAGTTTAGACACTCTCCTTCCTGTTGGCACTGGGCTCTTTCACTTTGAGAAATTCCTACATATATGAAAATCCGAACCTATAAAACAAATCTGGAGCCTGATATTTGCGGGACAAAGGAATTCTTCCCTTTAGGAAGAAATCTTTTGAAAGCTGAGCTCACATAGCGCTTTCAATATACCTCAATCACCGCGCTTGTGTTAGGAGACCCGAGCCGCGGGAGGCAGGTGTCCTGCCCGGGGCACACTACCCCCCAGTAAGCGGAAGTCTTCGTGGGCCCTCCTTTTTTATTTCTTATGGAGGAAGAAGAAAGAGCACAGATTAATGAGCACACCCAGAAAACAGTTCTTTCTGTTAACCTGGTGCTATCTTTCTCATTGGAGTTTCCTCCTCTGTTTTCCTGCCCTCGTTATATTCTCCACACACACAGCCAGGTACAGATTCATTTTTATAAAGAAAAAAAATTGTCCTTTCACTGCCTTTTTGGAATTGATACGAAGTGTGTGCCCTTCCTCTCCCCCAGGTCTAAACACCCCCATGCCACTGGTGTGTTTTTGGATTCTTTATTCTAACAAACCAGTTCCTTTTTTTGGAGAGGATTATAATTGACGGTAAACACTTTCTTTAACTTTCTCTAATTACAATTTGATTTTAAATGTAGTTCATATGTTTTCTCTATGCAACTAACCCAAGCGGTGGGCTGCCAGGTTTTCCCTAAGTTGGGAATGAGCAGAACTATTAAATTAAATCACAAGAAACAGGGAAAAGGTACAATTAGTTTCTCCAAGAGGATGCCATTGCATATTTCCTAAAAGACATGAAGATGTCTATGACTGGGGATTTCATGCCTCATTACATATATTTTTCTTCTGGTTTTGTATTCTAGTATGGATTTATCAACACCTGTCTGTAATCTCTCGTGATAGAGAAATTTAGCAAAGAAACCTGGGAGAAATTGAAGTAAGTATACGAAAGGGAAGATGAAGTGTCTCTGGAGCAACAGGTAAGCCTTTGGTGTTTTTATGGTTACAGCTTTTTACTGACCTTTGGATTAAGCCAGTTAGTTGAATGAACCCATCTTAAAAGATACAGCTGGTTCTCAAAGCGATTCAGTTACTAGGGAGATCAATTCCAGCACCGTAAACATGTGAATTAGATATAGAAAACACCTGGTACACCTTAGCTGTCTTCCATGAAGGTATCAGTCTTAATCACTAAAATCAGCCTTAAAACGGGGTCTCACTGTAAATAATGCCAACATTATTTTAACTTTTATCTCATGAATGAATTCTCATTTTCTCTTTCTAATCACAGAAGAGAGAGCAACTGCATTATTTCCATTGCACATCAATGGAGCTGCCAAACAGAAGAGGGGAGATACCTTTTAAGTTTGGCCAGAATCACTTCTTAGGTGTTCTTTAGTTAATTCTTAGTTTTTCTCCTCTGCCTCCATCCAGTAACCCCTTAATGCCATCATTTATATCTCCATATAGTCTCCTGTCTGACTCTTGCAATCTTGTGCCATCTGTCTGCTTCCCTAGAGGCTCCCAGACCTAAGGTTGGGGATGAAAGTGGCTCAGAAATCATTTGATCCTAGGAAGGGAGAGGAAAACAAAAATATGGAAAAATGATTGGCTTCCTCAGTTCATCAATGCCATGCAAATTAAAACAATTAGGCACTGCTTTGCCTATTAAATCTCCAAAAAATTTAAATGATAATAACCAGTTCTGGTTAAGATGCAGCAAAATGGGTAATTGTTGGTGGCATAGGAAATCAGTGCAGCCCCTTTGGAAAGCAATCTGACAACATGTACCAAAAGCTGTGCAAATGATCAAATCCTTTGAAGCAGTAAGTCCATTCTTGAGAATCTATTCTCTTAGAAACGCATACCTTTATGCACACATATACGTATATATATGCAAAAAGATATAATGTAGCTTTATATTTATAAATAATAAAATAAAAATTGTCTTTAGGAGTTAAAAACAAACCAACAAACAAATGGAATGATGAAAGAAATATGCATTATTATGTGATGATTGCAAAGATCATGAAGCAACTTGCAAATTTTTATGATAATACTAAGTTAAAAAAAACAAGAAAAAAACAAAAAAGACACAAGTTACCTATCTACTAGGTAAATTACACAAATGAGAAAGGATTAAGAGAAAGACCAAAATAATAACTAATAGTGACTGAATTAGATAAAATCCTGGATGATTTTTTTCCTAATATCTATTTCCCAAATTTTCTTTTTCTATTTCCCAAATTTGCTATATGTTTTTATTGCTTCTGTAATGTAAAAACAACTTAAAATGCTTCATGCAAACTTTCCCTCCCCTTCCTCTTACTCCCATTTTAAAAAGAAAATAAATCGAGCTGAGTACACAGTGACTTGCCCACAGCTAGGTCCTGCCCACACCCATGGCCCTGCGCAGGCCGGGCCACTGCAGCCCATTGCTCACACGCAGGGCACCATCTTATTCTAGGGAAGCCAGCCCAGGGGTAAATCAGCATCTCTGGGGTAAATTGCTTACAGCTCCACAAGTTTAGATGGGAAAAAGGAGCTCTGGCGTCACAGAGGCGAAGAATACTCATTTCCAAATATTTTAAGTAGGAGCACTGAGTAATTATGATCAGAGAAAACTTGGACTGGTGGACCCTTGGGAGATTACTTAGCCCAGATCTTCTCAGTTGACAAATGAGGAAACTGAGGCCCAGAAAGGTTAAGTGACTTGGCCAAGACTGCACAGCAAGGGGGCAACAGGACCAGGATGCACTGTTGGAACCGTAAAGTGCTCCTTTGCAGCCCCCTATGCGACCTTGGGAAGAGAAGCATCTGAAGCCTTTTTTATTTTTTATTTTTTTATAATGGCCATTATGTTTTAAAGGCTAAACTCAGTAAGAATAGAGAACAGGAAAGAGCAGTCTCCTTATTTTAAGCACTTACCTTGGGCCACGCCTCTTATATAATGATCTTATGAAAGCCCAACAAGAACGCTGCAAGGCAAGGTATTGCCCTGCTTTACCAAAGAGGAAACAGTCCCGGAGAGGATGATGCTGACTGCTCGGTAGGTAAGGGGGCTGGGGTGGGGACACAAATCCAGGTCTGTGACTGCAAAGACTCCTCTTTCTATTAAGCCATTCTACCTGGGGAAAGGAAGAGCAACTGGCAACGGGAATTCATTTTCTTTATTCTTTTTTTTTTTTTTTTTTTTTCTTTCTTTGTGAGACGGAGTCTCACTCTGTCGCCCAGACTGGAGTGCAGTGGCGTGATCTCGGCTCACTGTAACCTCTGCCTCCCGGGTTCAGGCGATTTTTCTGCCTCAGCCTCCGGAGCAACTGGGACTATAGGCGCCCGCCACCACGCGGGAATTCATTTTCAGGGACTCTATGTGAAATAAGAGAGGCGTGTCTTTAAACATGCGTTTACTGAGTTCCCATAGTAGGTCTGGTACTGCGAAAAACACTGGAGGATTGAAGAAGCAAATAAGCCATTTGGCCTGGATGGCTTTAGAATCTGTGGAAACATGACAGGTGTGCCTGGAACACAGGAACTAGGGTGATGAAGGGCGATGTCAGATGGGAAACTGGGATCGTTTCCTCTGCTACGAACTTGACAGGGGCAGGTCAGCTCCAGCCATGCCCACATGGGCCTTCCAGAGGATCAGCTGCTCCTATCAGAGGGCGAGCAGTCTTAGGAGGAGGAAACAGAAATGGCGGGCTCAGCCAGGCTGTTGGGTGGCCACTGCGGGGTCGGGTGGGGAACCAACTTGGCAAATAGGATACTCATCTTCTCAGAAGTCACAGGGCATTGTTGCAAGTCCCCAGGAAGCAGTCGTTGGATTCAGCGGAGGCTCTGGGGCTACAGTGCTGAGCTCAAAGCCCAGAAGCGAGGCTTACAGTCTGTACGAGCCCGGCATGGCACTTAACCACTCTGCGACCCAGGTGTTTCATCTGAAAAGAAAAATAGTAAAAGTAGCTAACCTCGTGGGGTTATGGCAATTGTTAAATGAGATTGATAATACAAACCGGGCACTGAGAAAAAATGAGTGGCCCAGGATGGGCCCTCCAGAAATGTAAGCTGCTGTTGCATCATGGCTGCTCCCGTGGTTGCTACTGGCTTATTTTCAAGATGCTGGTCCTCACGTGGGGTGGGGGAGAGTTGGGGGGCAGTGGTCTGCATCCCACTGGACTGGATTTGCGTGTGGGCTCTGCTGCTCAGAGCTGTGCGATCTTGAGCGGGTTGCTTCACCTCTCTGAAACTCTGTTTCCTCATTGATAAAGGGGGAATAATGTACCATCTTCTAGGGTTAAGGAGAGAATTGAGTGGTGCAATCTACACTGAAGTACCTAGTAGAAACTCAGTAAGCATCCTTCTTCCTCCTCTGAGATATAGGTGCTACATTAAGATCACATTATTCTTGACATTATTAGAACCACTTTGCTGCTGGTCAGATAACGATGCTTTCCATCTTGAAGAAGCAGATGTTCCTCAAAGGCTTTCTCTTTGCCCAGAGGGAGACCTTGCCTCCTAAAGTTAGTATGATTTGCTGAATGGCTTTATCTCCACTCCTCCTTTCAGTCTGACCTCCCTGACACCCAGTGCGGGCCAGTGTCTAACCCTGCCTCGAGGAACCCTCATAAAGCTAGGGACCAGGCTGGGAGCGGGAGAGATGGATTTTTGTTGATTGATTTTTGACTTATGAATATTCTACCATGTGATTTTCTGGTAAGGACCTTTAGCCTCAGCTCAGCTGCTGCTTAAAAGACCTGTTCTGCCTAGGAGAAAGGCCAGGGCTCTGGGAATCACTGAAAATAGCCAGAAATAGCCAGAGCACTTAGACATGAGCAGAGGTAAAATGACACGTTCAGCTCTGCCTCTGACAGGCAGCTGAGTTGTGCTGTTTACGGAGGGACTCTCGCCCTCTGGGTATGACGGAACGTAGGTAGCATGGCCAGCTGCTGGAGCCCTCATTGGTTGAGATATTCAGCACATCTTTCCAAATCAAGGGGGAAAAATCCCCAACTTTCCATGTGTAAGTGGATGGAAGAGACTTTCTCCTTTTCGGATCCTTGGTGCGACCTCCCTGAAAGGCTGGAATGTCATCTCTTTCTTCCTTTAGAAGAGCAGTTCTCACAGCATTCCCAAACAAACAGGAATCTACATGACCTCCAGGGGGATAAAGGACATTTGAATGAGGGTACAAGAATGCAAGGGAACCAGAGAAATATGTTTGGGAATAGAGAACCCAGCAGGGCACATCCTGCGCTTGTGTCATTAGGTTTTATCTCTTTCATCTTGAAGTTTCAATTCTCTGCTTAATTGGGTCTCAGAGGATGTTTGTATACAGAGCACTAGGCATCTATATGATTGCATTGGAAATGTATCTTTAAGCCAAAAATAAAGCCAATCTAACAAGTCCACCAGCTATGAAAATTGCATCATATTAGAATTTACTTAAAAAAACAAAAAAAAACAAAAAAACCCCCAAAAAACTAGTGCAGAAAATTCAGCTTTTAAAGGAGAAATTAAGGCGAGATTATTGGTTGTGTAAAAGGATTTGCTTCAGGCCACATTTAAATAACAAATTCCCTGGTGCTTGTAGAGTAAAATTTCAGCTGAGAAAGAAAAAAACCCATCAATTCCTACAGAAATTTTAAGAAGAAATGATTAGGTAAAACGAAGCATGTTTCCAGACCTTATGACATAAATTTTATCTTAACATGAAATAGGAAACAGATGTTTCTCCTCCTTTGCTTGCAGTATTTTCCTCTCTTATAGTCTGGATTTGTAGATTTCTAATTATAAATCACTCTTTTTTTTTTTTTTTTTTTCTGAGACGGGGTCTTACTCTGTCACTCAGGCTGGAGTACAGTGGTACGATCATAGCTCGCTGCAGCCTCAAACCCTTGATCTCAAGCGATCCTTCCACCTCAGCCACCAGAGTAGCTGGGACTACAGGCATGCACCACCATGTCCAGCTAATTAAAAAAATTTTTTTTTAGAGACAAAATCTCTCTGTGTTGCCCAGTCTGGTTGTGAACTCTTGGCCTCAAGAGATCCTCCTGCCTCAGCCTCTCAAAGTGCTGGGATTACAGGTGTGAACCACCATGCCTGGCCTAAATTGCTTGTTTATAATCTTTTGGTTAAAACCTTTATTGAAGCTTAACAATGAGAAGGAACTAATGGATTAGGAAGAGTAAGGCCTTTGGGATCAGATAAACCTTTACATTTTGCCTGGATCACTTACTTGCTGTTTGACTTGGGCAAATGTATTTATTCAACAAGTATTTAGCTTCTAGGATGTGCTGAACAAAGTTTCAGGCACTGGGAATAGAGGCAAAGGGAATAGGCAAGGGCTGTGTTCCCTGGGAATGCATTCCAATGGGGAGGACCGTAAACAGGCAAATAAACAAATAAAACTCAGGTTGTGCAAAGAGCTAAATTTAGAATATTTAGTAGTGACTGGGGAGAGAAGATGCCAGTTGCCCTGAGTTGGTCAGAGAAAACCCTTTGGCAAAGGTAATGTTTGAATGAAAAGAAGGAAGGAGCCAGCCTAGAGACAGGGAAGTTATCTGTGTTCCAGAGAACATGGCAAGTGCAAAGGTCCTGAGGTCAGACTGAGCTCAGTGAAGTTGAGACCCAGAAGAAAATCTAACACGGTTGGAATATCATATGTGAGGAGTCTAATAGGAGATGAAGGCGGAGAGGGTTTTAGGGATCAGAACATATAAATGTGTAGAAGATGAGAAGGAGTTGAACTTTTCTTCTAATTGCAAGAAGGGTTACTGAAGTTTCTGAGCCTTGGTGCGCTCACTTGTGAATAGAGATAATCATGGTGCTCACCTCCTCCACTTGTGAGGACTGAGGCAGCTAACATAGGTGAGGCGGTTAACATCCCCTTGGCACTTTGGTTGCAGAACTTAGTCCAGGATTTTGCTTCCAAGGATCAGCAATCCACTGTGTAAGCTAATGTTTAAAGGAGTTACTGTAAAGATTCAGAAGACTCTAACAGAGCTCAGTTGCAGGAAGTACAGAGAAATCTCAGAGAAAACAGAAAGTCAGCAGGCCTCTTTTCAATGCTGCGTCTCCCTTCATGTTTACTCTATTTTCCTGGTTCTCTCTTCTCTCTGCAAGACTTTTAATTTCTGTTCCTTTTTTTTTTTTATTATTTTTTGGAAATGCATCTTTAAGCCTGTCACCCAGGCTGGAGTTCAGTGGCGTGTTCATAGGTCAATGCAGCCTCAAATCCTGGGTTCAAGTGATCCTCCTGCCTCAGCTTCCTGAGTAGCTAGGATAAGAGGCACATGGCACTGTGCCTGGTTATTTTATTTTATTTTTTGGTGAGACAGGCTTTTGCTTTGTTGCCCAGGTTGGTCTCAAATTCCTGACTTTAAGTGATCCTCTCACCTCAGCCTCTCAAAGTGCTGGGATTACAGGTATATACCACCATGACTGGACTCAATTTCTATTTCTTCCAAGCTTTTCTATATGCCCTTTGGATTCAAGAGATCACCATCATCAGACTGGCTCAGTTTCTCAGTGCCTCAATTGCAGATGCCTGAGAAAGAGGCTTTGATGGTCTTTGGTCTGGAGTCCATATGTATCCCCTTCAGATGGACTTTGGAGGGTGGGGACTTTGGAGGGTGGGGTCTCAAAGAAGAGGTAATGGGTAGAGCCATCAGGACTGACGTATATTCTCCTCTGTATAAATAAATACATGAAAAAGGAATGAATGGTTGGATGATTCATGTGTGTATGAATGGAAGATGAATAAATGAATGAGAGGTGGATGGATGACTGACTACCAAGCCCAAACCAACCCATTTAGGAGAGAGGTGGGTGGGATTACATGGCTTCTCTCTGTGTCATGGGTTCTTAACCAGAGGTTCGTGGATAGGCTTGGGAAGGTCTAAGAACCCTTCAAAATCATCTATTAAAATGTTGTGTACATGTGACTACATGTATTTTTTGGGGAGAGTGTTCATAGTTTTCATCAGAATCTCTAAGAGCTCTACAATCTAAAAAAATTCAAGGATCCCTGATTATGAATCCTTGGGATTTTTGTTCTTCCTAAATAGGAAATGCTGGTCGGGCACAGTGGCTCATACCTGTAATCCCAGCACTTTGGGAAGCAGGGGCGGGCGGGTCATGAGGACAGGAGTTCGAGACCGGCCTGGCCAACATAGAGAAACACCATCTCTATTAAAAACACAAAGAAATTAGCCGGGTATGGTGGCAGATGCCTGTAATGCCGGCTATTTGGGAGGCCGAGGCCAGAGAATCACCTGAACCTGGGAGGTGGAGGGTGCAGTGAGCCGAGATTGCTCCATTGCACTCTAGCCTGGGCGACAGTGTGAGACTCCATCTCAAAAAAAAAAAAAAAAAAAAGGTGTTAACATGGTAACATCCTGAGAAGCATTCCTTCAAGCCCAGTATATTGCAAAATGAATTGAGCCAGAAAAAGTCAGAATTCATTCATTCCCTTTTCTGCTATCCCTTGTCCATCCAATTGACTCACCAAGTTTCTTACCCCTTCTTCAAGACTGAAAGCCCCTGTCCCTCCATGTTATCTACTTTTCCCCTTAAATAAAGTCTAGTGAAAAAGTAGCTGAAAGCAGAGAGTTTTTATTTTTAACTTTGATCCAAAAATGTTGCCTGTCTCCCCACTTCTGTGCCATTCCTGACCACAAACGTGTTTGCTGGTTCATCTAGCTTCCTGAAACCACAGCCCCTCAGTGCCAGAAGGGCCCTTAGAAATCAATCTGGTCAGAGCATTTCACCTGGAGGACTCAGCCTCCAAAAGATCATATGAGAATATCTGTGGGAAATTCTAAAAATATAGTGAATATTATAATATTAAATATACAAAGCAGAAGTGTTTTTTTCTAACAAAAGCTGTCGAAGGTAAAGCTTGAGAAATACTTTTGTTTAGAAGGACTATACGGAAGATAAACTTTTTTCTTTTTTTTTTTTTTGAGATGGAGTCTCGCTCTGTCACCCAGGCTGGAATGAAGTGGCGCGATCTCAGCTTACTGCAACCGCTGCCTCCCGGGGTTCAAGCTATTCTCTTGCCTCAGCCTCCCGAGTGGCTGGGATTACAGGCATACGCCACCACACCCAGCTAATTTTCTTATTTTTGGTAGAGACAAGGTTTCACCATGTTGGCCTGACTGGTCTTGAACCTCTGACCTCAAGTGATCTGCCGACCTTGGCCTCCCAAAGTACAGGGATTACTGGCGTGAGCCACTGTGCAGGGCCTGGAAGATAAACTTAGTAGGAGTAGAAACAGATATCATGAGGCCTGAAGCTTATATACTTTGGGAAGCCTCCTTTAAAAAGAATATAATTGCAAATAAAAATTCAGCTACAAAAATAAGTACTTTTTTAGAATTAAGGAAGAAAACTTTAAAGCTGACAGATAACATGAACATCAAAAGCTGGAAACATGTTTTAGTTATTATTATCATAAATTAACCTTCTTTTAGAATATGCTTTCCTGCATCTTTGGCTGTATTTTGCTTTTTCTGTTCATCGGACAATGATTTTATAATGTCATTTTCTATAAAGAGGGTAGAATGAATATTCTAGCATGGCTGACTGAAAATTGTTTTTGTTGTGTTTTGTTTTCATTGTTAGTATAGACAAATTTCTTTATGCACATCCATAACTTTCTCAGCAGTTTCTTACTGAAGTGTGCTTCTTTCCTGGTGGCAAGTCCTGGGAAAACTCCAGCCCTTGATCTCCCTTGACCTGTTCCACCCCTCTCCCCTACTTTTAGGCAAGTCCTCTTGGACCAGGCAGTCCCCACTGGGAATGTGCAGTCTCTCTTTCAGATGCCTTTTTGGGAGTCAGAATAGAGTCTGGATGTGTGTTGAGTCTACCAGAAGCAAGTGGTCCTGAGGACTGGGTGGTCTGCAGCCCCACCCACAGGCACCCAGGACCACCACCAGGGCATATAAAGTGACCTCTCAGGCTGGAGATGGCTTTTAGCTAGAGGGGGCCAGGTGGGGCTGCTTCCTCCCTGTCCTGGAAGCCTCAGCTTCATTAGCTTCCAAAGCACACCTGAATTACTCTTGATTTAAATCAGAAGTTCTTAAACACTTTGGTCTTCAGAAGCCTTTATACTCTCATAAATTATCGAAGACCCCACAGAGCTTTTGTTTAATCTATGGGTATTTATGGTATTAGAAATCAAAACAAACAAATTTTAAAAAACATTTTAAAATTCATCTAAAATAAGTATATGTTATAATATATAATATAATTATGGTACAATACATAATATTACTTGTTAGTGTAATGTATTTTTATGATAAATAACCATATTATTCAAATAAATTAATGAGAAGATGGCATTACTTTACAGTTCTGGAAATCTCTTTTAATATCTGATAAAGTAATGGAAGTGGGATTCCATCTTCCACAATGTATATATTCCGTGATATGATTTTGGTTGAAATTTATGAAGAAATTATGGAAGGAAGAAGAACTTTAATACTCTTTTCAGATCATTGTGGCTATTCTTTTAAACCTCACAAAAGCTTGATAAGTGGTAGTTTCTCAAAGGTCAGTTATAATTGAATCTGTAACTGTACGGATGACCTTCTTCATACTCTGTTATATTAAAATCTCTTGATCTGTGTTACATTTGGATATAAATTTTAAGCATCATTTTGTACTAGCTTGCATGAGTTATTTGGAAACTATTAGCTCACTGACTTGTGCTAATCTTACAAATGTTGACACGTTTCACTATACAATATCAAAATTGCATTTGTCAATATCATCCCAATCTTAGCCTCTAAGGATTGGGATGCTAATAAGCTTACAGTATAAGATGCAATTTTTTTCCCCAAAATTCTTATTTTTGTTTCAGAGCATGAGTTTTGTCACTGGCAACACATTCTGCCAGTTATTTTCCTTGAAGTGACAGGCTAACTTTGTTCTTTTCTTAAGAAAATGTCTGCCAAATATCCAAGTCTGAGTAACCATGGTTCGTCTGTCAGTGGTTTTTTAAGTGGAAATGATGTTCCATTAAAAAAAGTGGCTAATTCAGCTCATAACTCAATCGTGCAAGTCCTTTTCCTGGAAGTGGCCATTCACACTCATGCATATAGGAGAAGTACTTTATTTGAGTGTGTATTTCCCATTCTGTTACACAAAATATTCAAAAGATGTATACTCAGGGTCAAGATTTCATGACATTGGTAATTTTTACTACCTCAAAATGAACAACCTAAAGTGAAACTGGCATTTTTTTTTTTTACTGCACATATGTGACAGTGAAGAATATGATGACTATAAATAATATACTGAAGATTTAAGAAAAGAATATAATAAATAATGTAATAGTTTTGTGCCACTGTCTTGATTGATGCTATAAGGCACCAAATTTTACTCACCAATGCTTATGGGTCGTTAGTGCAAATACCAATTGGTACCAAAGGCGAATAATGTCTTAATTTGGTTTTGAAAATAGTTTGGCCTCGTGGATTCCTAAAAACACCTTAGGTATTTGCACCTTAGGGTTCCATGGGTCATACTTTGAGAACTGCGGCTTAAATGTCTTAAGCGTCCTTCTAAGTGAATCAGAGGTCAAGGAAGGAGACATCATTGGTGGCTGAGGGAGAGAAGGGGAGGACCAGACATGACAGTCTTCGTGACAACAATGACCTAATTGAATACTGTCGTCGTAAAAATGAAGAAATGGAGGCACAGTGAGATTGGCTCCAAGTCATCCAGCTAGATGGTGGTAGAGCCAGGGTTAACTCCTAGGTCTCCTCCCAACACACAGAGTCTGTGAGCCTCTGCCAAGTTAGGTCTCTCACCTAAATTATCTTACAATTATTTATTGAGTACCTGTTGTGTGCCAGGTACAGGGCTAGGTATTGAAGATGTTAAATCGAATGACATTGTTGCGATCCTTCCACTTGGTAGTCTAGGAAGCATGCAGATGGGCGAATCAATTCCACACACAGTTAGCCCGAAGACAGGTGATACAGACAGCCACGGGGGCTCAGAGCAGGGATGCCCGGATCTGCAAGTGGCTGAGAATGTCCAGAATTGGGATTCTGACACTGAGTTCGGAAGGAAGAATCAAGTTAGCCAGATCAGGGGAAGTGAGAGCTTTTCCGGTGGAGCAGAGCCTGTGGGAAGTCAGGGAAGAGAGGAGCTTGAGAAGCTGGAGGAATGGATGGATGGGAGAAATGGCTGGAGGTGAGGCGTGGGTGCAGGGGCTGGGTCACGGAGGCTGGGTATGTCCACCTAAGAAGTCTGGATTTTATTAAGAAAGCTGTGGGGAGCCAGACAGGCCAGCTGGAAGACAGGCTAGAAAGACAGTCTGGTGCTTTTTCTAAATACCAGATGGTAGTGACACCAGGACAAATCTTTTGCCTTTCTGGGCCTGTCTTTCCCCAAGCACACCTTGAGTCACACAGTGACAGGCAAGCTTGTTATATGAATTCCCCACCTACCATTAAGAGAGCTGCTGAAAAATGAGTTCCTATGGCTTAAATTGATCCCATTCTCTTGGCCTGAAACTTGCTACAAAGTGCTGTTCATTTTTCCTATGGGCTTTATAGCTCACCCTGGACTCTGAAAAACCATTACATCAGTTTAGTAAGGTTGAACCACGTAAAATGTATCATTTGTAACCTGTTGCCTTGCCAGACTGAATCCTAGAAAGTGTTTCTGTGCAGTGGTTATCAAACCTGGACAGTCATCTGAGGCAAGTGGTTAAAAAAATATGTATTTTCAGACACCACCTCCTGGGGCTCAGGAATCTGTGTATTTATTTTGCTTTGTGAGTTGCTCTGCTATAGGCAGCCTGGCCCTGATTTTCTGCTCAGATATTTTGGGTATCGCTAGTTGGAACTAACTAAAGAGGAACATGTATTGAATGCCTGCTGGTGCCAATTAAACACTGATTCCTCAGTCTCCTGCACATGGATGCATACAAGCACCTATGTGGCTGACATTTTTCATGTTCCATGACAGGTACTCCTCTTTGTGTGAGCTGAAAACATCTAACTCTTCCTTCATTTCCTACATTTGTTGCATCTTCAACTCTCAATCTCTTCAAAACACTTTCCAATAGTCATTTTTCTCTCTTTCCTCTCTGCACACGAGAGGCTTTGTCATCTCATTGGAAGATATCAATTGGTTTATTTATTTTTAAAAAATTCTTGGTGAACATACTGTTTTATTAAAGCAGCTTGAATGACTACATATGCAAGTGTGCACTGGCTCTGTGGGAAATGTTATATGCAGGATTGTGGAGATCAATAAACAAGGCTGAAAATCCCTGTATAATCATAACAGTCTGGGCACGTCTGGCATCTCAGCAACGTGCAACATATATACAAACCCAAATAAATATTTGACACAAAAATATGATCAGTTCAGACTACAGGAAAGAACAGGCTGCCAGATCCAGAGATGGGTTAATGGGTGGTCCTATCAGAGGGCCGGGGAGCACCACGGAGTTTGTTACATTTCTGACAGTCCTGGAGGTCACTTAACCCTTTCTAAGGTCTTCAGAACACATTATGACAATGTGTCAAGCTTAAATCGGGGTCTTGTCCACGTGTTTCTGTTTTGCTTATAGGCACAGAAGGAGGGCACATGCTTTCACAGAGACTTGTGGGCCCTTGGGGGCGAGTAAGAGGCAACTCCAACATGGTGGAGAGTACCCCACTTAGGCAGCAGTGGTGGTGTACAGTGCTGCTCGCCCGAGCAGGCCTACAGCTGGTTTCTCTGAACAGCTGCCTCCGAAGATGCTTAGAAAGCACCGCACAGGCATAGGCCAAAACTGGAACTCTTGCAGGCAAAGGAGAATTCAAGCAGCTTCTAGTCCAGGATCCTCAACTGCGTGCACAAGTGTTTCTGGGGATGTCTGAGAATCCCTAGTGGATGTGTGTGTTGCAGAGAGGTTAAAAAAGGTTGAGAAACACGAATCTTGTGCGGTATCTCCCTTATTTTACAGATAAAGAAATCAAGGCCCAGAGGGGGAAGTGATTTTCCCTCAGAGTTTATTTGTGTAAGGCATAAGCTTGGAACCAACGTCTCCTAAACCCCAGCCCTGGTCACCTCCCACTCACCACACAGCCCGTTTGTTCTCATTGTCATCACAGCTCCCCTTGGATTTGCATGGTAGTTCTCATTTTCCCCAAGCTCTTTCACATTTGTTGTCCTGTTTTATCCTTACCAACACTCCTGGCAGATAGGAACGGCAGGTAATAATAATTGCCACATTTTACAGAGCGGAAGATGAAGTCCAGAAAGATGATAAAGAGATAATTAAATTTAGCGGTGAATAAGGATCCTGAAACATTAGAAGGTTAGGTATCCAGAGGAGGAACCAGCCCAGTCTGCATTTTCCTAAAGGGTAGAACTAAGGCCAGTGAGTAAATTCCCAGCAGCACAGTACAGGAGTGATGTGGACTTTGAAGTCCAGAGCCCAGATCCTTCTCTGGTCAACTGGTGACCATAGCAAGACATTTAATCCCTCTGAGCATCAGCCTTCTCAATAGTACAAGGAATGATAAGTAATAAATTGGTCATCTCTTGGGCCAAAAGCTCAACAAATAAGAGTTATTATGAGGGCCCAGAAGGGGGTTTCAGTTGAACATAAGAAAGACGTTTCCATCAAAGAGAGAAGTTGGTAAGTGGAATGTGCTGTCTTGCAAAGGAATGAGCTTGTTGTCACTGGAAGGATTCAAGAAGAAACAGGAAAACCAGCAGTCAGAAATAGCATGTAGTAAGAAATTGGACATTTAGAAAATCGGACATGTAGAATATTCCATACTTCTTGCAATGCCAAGATTCTATGGTGTGTTCTGGATAAGCTTGAATGCTCTGACCCCTCTCTGTTCTCCAAGCATGCTCTCTGCTGCCTAGGAGCCTATTCTCTCTGTCCAGAAGGCTCTTCTTTGCCTTCCCATCCTTCAATCTCCGCAAAATCTCCCTTTCTTAGAGACACATTCCCTGACCAACCTCCTTCCCCATTAACTCAATTGCCAGTTACAGTTTGATGACTCACATAAGGGCCACACCAAGGGTGCAAGTCTCAGACTCCCAGGCTAAGCCTCTTTTCAGCAGGCTTGGTTAGCTGTTGAAGACTAAAGTCCATCAATAACTCCTGCAACATAGCCAACTACACTGCAAAACAGTGAGAAACTCCAGCAGCTGCTCTACCATCCAGAGAACAAGACTCTGTGACCACTGGGTTCCAGTTTACTACCATATATTAAGTTCTGAACATGTGCTCAGTACAGTGCCACTTGCTGGGGGTTCAAAGATAAAAATAAACCACAATGCTTACCGTCAAGGAGCCCAGGCTAGTGGGTAAGGCCAACAATCTTTATATAAGTTGAGGAAGTGCATAGCCTATCCTGGGTACTTGAGAAGGGATCTCCAGGCTCAAACTGAGGTCCAGGGAAGGCTTCTTGGAGGAGCTGACACTCAAACACTCCAATGTCTCACATTCCTTATGATCAAGAAGGTTATTGCTATGTATATCTTGCTGGGTCAGTGGATATATTCCTGGGGCAAAGCTTCAGCTGATGAGCATTCATTGCACCTCGATTCATCTTCCAGAACTTCTGCAGAAGTACAAGATGCCTTCGTGACCTACACAGTGTATGATGACATCATCACCATTAAGCTCATCCAAGAGGCCTGCAACATTCTGGGTAAGTATGAAAGAACTTGTTTTCCTTTCTTAGAGCTGCTGTAACAAAACCCGGTTGATTCTCATTATTGCCGTGGTTATAGTCTATAAAGCTGCTGCAATGCTGAATTAGTGAATACTGAACCGTTGTTCCTAGGGGAAATACAGGGTTAGTTTCCTGAAAGTCTCTGGTCACAAGATTTTTGCCAACCAATCAATGCATAACTTCGTTTCATGTGTGCTTCTGTGAAAAAAATATATATTTAATATACATAGCTGATTCATTCACACTGAACTGCTGGCCAACAGTACTGTAACTCGTGCCTGAAGGAGGCTAATCTAACACTGCCTGTTCTCTGAAAGGATGTGACAGTCTTCTTGTGCTTAGGGACACTAGACAGCACTTCAGCCTACATTTTGGGGTCATTCTAAACAGCAAAATCACCAAAAAAAAGCAGAAAAATGTGAAAAACATGACACTAAATAGACTGCAACAAGGACACTTGGTTATAGTTCAAACTAAAATAAGAACGTAGAGCACAGCTTTGTGCTGCCTTGGCTAGAAGCATTCATGTTGGCCAGTAGAAATTCTATGTCTGTGAATGATCTTGACAACTCTGTGAGTATTGATTTCAGAACTACGGATAAATAAGTAGCCAAATTTGTGAGTATGAAATCCTCAAATAATAAGGATCGATTGTATCATAACCTAGGTGGCTTAAAACTATAGAAATTCATTTTCTTGTGGTTCAGGGGACCAGAGGTCCAAAATCAGGTTGCTGGCAGGGCCATATTCTCTCTGAAGGCTCTCAGGAAAAATTCTTCTTTCCCTCTTCCAACTTCGGGTGGCCCCAGGCTTTCCTGGGCTAGTGGCAGCATAACTCCAATCTCTGCTTCTGTCTTCACGTGGCTGTCTTCTCCCTGTATTTGTGTCTCTGTGTCTAAATTTCCATCTTCTCGTTAGGACATCAAGCATATTGGATTTAGGGTCCATCCTAAATGACATCATTTTAACTTGATTACCCAATTTCCAAACAATGTCACATTCACAAGTTCCTGGTAGACATGAATTTTGGGGAGCACTATTTAACCCAGTACAGGGCTCAGGCATGACCCTTTCCATTTGAGTGACCTTAGGCTTCTTACAGACAACAATGATGAGCACCACCGTCTGCACCACTACCATCATGTTTGGCTTTGATGTTGGTTTTACAGGTGCACTAATGCCTTTAGAATGGTCTGCTATGATTCCCTCTGGGTGTCAGGAGGAACAACATTGAGAATCCACGTATGCCATCCACACTCATGCTTACCTGGAAATGGATGTGGGGTGCTCTGCAGCGTGCTGAGGGCCCTTCCCCTGTCTGCTCTCCATCGCATATTTTCCCATCTGCTTGGACATGAAAATGCCATTGACAGGGTCATAGGAGGGGGACCATGTGTGGATGGTCCCACTGACAACATACATATCCTCCCAGGATGGTTTTTCCCATGAACGTATTAGCACAGAATTTTTTTTTATCTTGTTAATCTGCTCACTCCCCAGGCCCTGAGGCCCTGAGGGGAAAAGGTACAGGACAAAAAAAAAAAAAAAAAAAAGAAAGAAAAAATAAATTAGCTCTGCCTCGTTCTAGTTTAATGACCGGAGACAAATTACCTAAACAGTCATAGTTTTCTCATCAGTTGAACAAGATCTACTCTTTAGAGTTATTTGGAGGATTAAATGAGAAAATGTATGTAAAAATATCATATGTGGTACCTGGTATATAATAGGCTCTCAAAAAACATTCCCTCCCTCCCTCCCTCCCTCCCTCCCTCCCTCTTTCCGTTTCTTCTTTCTTCCCTCCCTCCCCTTTGTGTTTCCTGGGCTGCTGTAACAAAGTACCAACAACCAGGTTGTTTCAAATAACAAACATCAATTCTCTCCCAGTTCTAGAGGCCAGAAGTGTAAAGTCAAGGTGTTGGCTGGGTTCATTCCCCTGGAGGTTCTAGGGAGAACTTGTCTCTTGCTTCTCTCCCAGCTTCTGGCAGTTGCTGGCACCCCTTAGCCTGTAGACACATCTCCCCAATCTCTGTCCCCATCTCCACAGGCCATCCTCCCTGTGTGTTCACGTGGCCTTCTCATGTGGACAGCAGCCATTGGATTTAGGGCCCACCCTAATCCATTATGTCCTTACCTTATTTTAACTAGCTACATCTGTTCTCTTTTCAAAGAAGGTCACAGCCTGAGGTTCTGGGTAGACATCAATTTGGGGGCACATTATTTAACCCAGTACACCCTCCCTTTCTTTATCCTTCCTTCTTATCAGCACTGAGTACACAGTGAGCCAGGGCAGGCCTGAGGGGAGGGAGGGGCAGGCAGCCTCCAACATCCCAGGCTCCAGGGATCTACGCAGGAAGCGGAAACCCCACTCTGTACTTCCAGGATCTTTGATGAAGTCCCTTTTTCCATTCCCATTGAACTTCCTTTACCCGTTCCTCACAGGCGGTGCTGCCTTGGGCCACTGTGAGAGTGTGAGATGGCATTTAAGGATGATCTCACGCAGATGCTGCATCAGGCCTCATGCTTGGCACCTGGAACCCGTGTATAGCCTTGTTGGAAGTGTCTGACTAGGCCCAGTCCCTGAGAGCAGGCAAGCTGGCTCTTATGCAGCCTGCAGAGGGTCCGGCAGCAGGGGCCATAGTTTTGAGTTGGTTTCATGGTGCCTCTGAGGGCCTAGCAAATTGACTTGCCATTCTCAGGAACAACAAACCTAAACAATGATATAGGTTTAAGTCAGTGGCAGGTACCACAGTCATCAGCCCAGCAGGCGTGCCTGAGAACACGCCAGGGCAGCTAGCTAATGCTAAGCCCACAGGGACAGGCAGCTTCTCCAGAGCACAGCAGTGATGTGTAAAGTGCCTGTGTCATGTGAGGCATTGAGCGTATTTCCCTTTCCTTTGGATTTCAGAAACATTCTCTGATGATTAAAAAGATAGTGCCAGCTTTACTCGCAGGCAACTGGATCTGACAGATGCAAGGGCTTTTCCCATGGCTTTCACAGGGCGATGTGACTGACATCTACATCTCTTCTCATGCTCCTGGTCATCTCTTGAATGCAGAAGACCTTCCAGGGATCTGTATCCAGGAGAGGCCCAAAGACTCTGCCAAGCTGGGAGGGGGAAGTCATTGAGGCTAAGGAAGCTAGATGTGTGTGGTGCTCAGAGTCCTCTCCGGTAACAAGCGGTCACCTGCTTCCCCTGCCCACTCTGGGCCACCATCTCATCATGCTGCTCTCTCGGAGCCACAGAGCCAAGAAGGGGCCAGAGCTGCCAATGAGGCCTGGCAGGTGATGGTGATCAGAGCTAGGAGGAATCTGGTGCCCCAGCTGGTTGTTAAAACAACTTCCAACCAGATGTGTGTTAGCCCCTAGTCACTTCCCACCTGCATCTTTCGATAGAACCAAGGTTGTATCTGAGGCTGGAAGTAAGGCACAAGGAGTGAAACAGTCGTTTGCTCCTTCAGCTCCTGGAATTCAGGCGCCAAGAGCAGCAACACCTCCCGGATGCTTCCGATAGCCAATTCCCAGCCTCCCACCACGGCAGCACTTAGAGGGGGGACACGGGCAGCTGGCAGACAGGGCCCCTGTGGCCTCCCAAGAATCACAGCTGGGCCTCTGCCCTGAATCCACCAACGAACTCTGCTCTCCAAAGAAGCTTACAGAGAGAGACTCTAGGCCGAAGCTGGCCCAGGAACTGGGAAGTGTCAGTGATACCTGTAAACCTCACCCCTATCCAGTCCAGCCTGTTTTGCGGGGACTCCCAGGCCCCTTTGTCTCTCCAGCAGCTGACACCAGAGGAGGTTTCTGTGGGGCCGGGTTATCAAAAAGCGCACAGCATCGAGCTTTCTGCGCTCGAGTCTGAGCGCAGGGTGTGTGCTCTTTACCGCACTGTGCTGCTCCCAGGGCCTGCAGCCCTGGAGACCTGGGTTCTAGACTCAGCTCTGCTCCCCAGCTATGGCCTTCTTGTTCAACAGGTGGCAGCAGCACAGCCACCCCAGAGGGTCACCTGTCAGCCTTTGTGCTTGACACACCTGCCAAAGAGATTACCTCTTTTATTTTCTTAAGCATCACTTTAATTTTTTAAAAAGTATGCGATTACAATGTTAAATATGCTTTTGCAAACAAGACAGACAGATCCCCTCTTGATCCTAATGTGTCCACCCCATATAGGCAAAGCCTAGGCGCTGCCCTTATGGCTGACTGTGATCCCAGTGAGGGCTGGAGGCCCACAAGTAAGTCCAGTGGTTTGCAATTGCCTCCTTTCTTCTAACTAAGTAAGAGGAGCATCTAGTAACCTTCCCTCCACAGAAAGAATACGCATCATTAGGTGGAAATTCTGTAATGAGGGGCGACTGCTTTTGAGCTGAAAATCTGGAGTTATGACAGAGCTTAGGAAATAAAAGGGCAAAAAAGCTTAGAATGGGTAGTGAAATTAAGCCCACCTTTAGTCTTTTCTTGATTTTATTCCAAGGGATCCCAGCAGCAGAAGGACATAGTGGCTATATCGCGTAGTCTTGATTTGGTCTGAGCCCTCTGCCAAAGAACATCTCGTTGTCATTCCAGAATGAGAATGGAGGGTGGATTCTATTCTGTCACACCAGCTGTGTGACCTTGGGCTAGAATTTCATTGAGAGTTGATCTCCTGCAAAAGGAATAATACCTTACAGGGTTGTGGGAAGGAATGAATTAAACCAAATGACAAATGTAAGGCACTTAGCAACATGCATGGCACATACTGGGTGTTTGGTAAATGTCAACTGAATGTTGAATCTGAAGGAAGGATGGGAGTCTTTCTACGTTTTGTACCTCTGGATCCTGTCCCTTATAAGAAGAGACAGGTTTTGCTATTCACTTCAAATGGCTGTGATAAAAAATTATGTTCTATGTGTACACAGGGAGGGAACAACACACACTGGGGCCTGTCATGGGGGTCGGGGGTAAGGAGAGCATTAGCAGATTTAGTTAATGTATGCTGGGCTTAATACCTAGGTGATGGGTTGATCCATGTAGGAAAGCACCGTGGCACACATTTAGGCATGTAACAAACCTGCACATCCTGCACATGTACCCTGGAACTTAAAATAAAATAAAATAAATTATGGGCCAGGTGCAGTGGCTCATGCCTGTAATCCCAGCACTTTGGGAGACTGAGGTGGGTGGATCACCTGAGGTCAGGAGTTCAAGACCAGCCTGGGCAACATGGTAAAACCCTGTCTCTACTAAAAATGCAAAAAGAAAAAAAAAAATTTGCCAGGCATGGTGGCGTGCCCCTGTAATCCCAGCTACTCAGGAGGCTTAGGCAGGAGAATCACTTGAACCTGGGACGTGGAGGCTACAGTGAGCCAAGATCTTGCCACTACACTCTAGCCTGGGTGACAGAGCAAGACTCTGTCTCAAAAAAAAAAAAAAAAAAAAAATTATGTTCTGAGCTCTCTGATTAATGGTCAGCAAACTACATACAGACTAAGGGCCAGATCTGGGCCTTTGCCAGTTTGTGTAAATCAAGTTTTATTGGAACACAGCCATGCCACTTTGTTTACACATCATCCATGGCTGCTTTTGTGTTACGTGGCAGGGCTGAGTAGCTACACAAAGACCGTATGACCTGCAAAGCCGAAAACATTTACTATTTACTATCTGCCCTTTACAGGAAAATTTTGTCATTTCATGCTCTCAAGGGTAGATGCAGATATTTTACAAGATTCTAAAAATATCTTTTAACCTAAGAACTGCTCTGGACTGAATTGTGCCGCCATTCCCCAAATTCATATTTGGAAATGGAGCCTTTGGGAAATAATTTGGTTGAGATGAACTCATGAGGGTGGGGCCCTCTTGATAGGATTGGAGCTCTTATAGGAGAGATACCAGAGCGCTGGCTCTCTCCCTCCCTGTCACATGGGGACATGGTGAGAAGGTGACCCTCTAACAAGCCAAGTAACCATATTAGCACCTTGATCTCAGACTTCTGGCCTCCAGAACTCTGAGAAAATAAATAGCTGTTGTTTAAGCCCCCCCATCTATGGCATTTTGTCATGGTAGCCCTAGTGGACTAATATAAGAACTTGGATCAGCTTGTATATCTCCAGAAAGAAATACTCTGTATATATCATATCACCCCAGTCCATTTTTGTGGCTGTCTGTGCTCATGTACATCAAACGGTGTGGCAGTACCTTCAGCAGTGAGATGCCATCACATACCTGCCCCATTGCCGTCACATTCCCAACCCAACCAACCTGTGTAGAGGCAGCAGCCAGTCTACAGACCAATATGTGGGCTGGCCCACATCACCTTTCCACCGAAAGCCAACGTACCCAACGTACATCACTGTGGTTTCTCTCTGCCTAGCTTTGAGTGTCAGAAGTGTTTTCTTCTTGTTGTTTATTTCCATAACATCTATTGGCCTATATCTATCTGAAAGAGCAAATCAGTATGGCGAACGCAGTTTTCAAATAAAAAGTTGAGATGCAAAATTGAGTGAACACATGTATGAGATGTGGAATCAGGACAGCCCCAGGAAGCCCGTGGTGATTCTGTATGTCTACAACGCCCGTGAGATTGAGAGAGCAAGAGCAGGACCTAGCCAAAGGGAAAGCTACAGGAAGGACATTTTACTCTCTAACAAAATACACTGGTCAGTTGAAAATCCTCTCTTTGACAAAGGAAAAAGCGTGCTTAGTCACCAATAGCAAGGGCTTTGCTTTCCATGTGGGCTTCAGAATGCAATTTCCCTACCTTGAAGCAATTGCTGGTGCTTTTCCAGACCGCTCTGCCACTGCATAGCTCTGTGCTTTCAAATTAGCATAATTCAGGAGGGGACCAGATGGCAGGTTGAGCACTGCATAAGGAATTGTTCTGTGTATGAATAAGTGCCTACTTAGTGTGTAAGTGGGTTATTAGTGATCTGAAGTGACAAAATTCAAAACAACACACAACAGCCATTTGGCACAGCTGTGTCCGTCTAGACTTTGCTTGCGAAGACACCCATAGTAAAATGTGTTTCAACAGTTAGCTATCAGCAAATGCCAGCAAGCCTCTCTGCACTCACATCTTTAAAAAGAAGAACAATATAAAATTGACAAAGTCTTGAAGTCAGGCATTGTAACGTTTGCTCTGTACCATACTCCTCTGAGGGTGGGACAAGTAACTCAGGCTGCGCAGCCAGCCACGAATGGAGACCTGAATTCAGGTCTGCTGATTCCAAGGCTGGTGCTTCATTCCACAGACTGGAGGGGAAGTTGACGATGTCTGGAGCAAAGGCTTTGGAATCAGACTGACCTGGATGAGCCCCCCTGGCTACACCAGCTCCTGATAATGTAACCCGGGGCAAATGTTCCCCTGGTTGTGCAGCAATGATACCTGTGACACTTTGTTCACCTTATTTGATTTCATCTGTAGGACAACAACTCAGAGGGTTTCACCTGTCCTACAGAAGAAATCAAATAAGGTGAGCAAAATGCCTGACACCCAGTGGGTATACAGCAAGGTACCTCACCCTATCCCTCACCCCTCTATCGGTTGGCGATAGACCCCTGGCCCTCTGCTGTGGCCCTGGTAGGGCTGACTACTCTGTTCCAAGGTTTGACGGGAACCAGACAGCTTCTTCTCTACCAGGCTTCAGTGGAACTGTTTCATCCCTGCAGAGCACCACTTTCTGAGCTGCCTTAATCGACTTCCAGTTTATTTTTTCTCTATGCCTGAATAAACTTACTACTACTTCTGAAACCCAAGCCTCCCAACTTAGAGTCTTCTTCCTCCTTGCAAACTATGGCATGGACGCGGGTAGATGTTTCTTTCCTTCTCTCAAACTCCTCTTTCTCCTACTCCAAAATATTTCCCCATAAATTAACTCATGCCTGACATTAGTGATATAATTGGAGAAAAAGAGTATGTGACATTGTGGCTCTTTTCAGGTATCTGAAGAGTAATCCTTTGAATACCAACGCTTTGGGGGAAAAATTACCACTTTTCAATGGAAAACTTTGTCAAAGGTAGAGCATGTACTTCCCTTTGCTGTTGAAGAGCATACGTTTTGCTGGGTGACTCAGGAAGGGTGCCATGAGGAATAGCTCTTGTTGCCTGTGACTTGGGTAATGGGAGGTGGGCAGGGGTCTTGGCAAGTCTGGCCCTGAGTGGGCTGTTTGCCTAGGAGGCTCTGCTTTGGTGGCTAGGCTGTCCCTGCCAGCCTCATTGCAGCTTCAACAGGTTCCCTCTGTCCCCGTGCCCTAGACAGCCCAACTCTACTCTTTCCAGTACCTTGAGCTGAAACCCAGCAAGAAGCAAATGTTTCCCAGTGACAAAGAAGACCCATGCTTGTTAAGTCAGAAAGTTTGAGTTCATGCAACATTCCAATGTAAAAGCTTGTTAGAAATCTCCACACCTGGGGAACCAAGTATAGAAGCTTTGTGACCATTGTTTCCTTCTGGAAAAAAGTCTTGGCTAGGTGCTGTAATCCCAGCACTTTTGGAGGTCAAGTCGGGTGGATCACTTGAGCCCAGGAGTTTAAGACCAGCCTGGGTAACATGGCAAAACACCCATCTCTAGAAAAAATACAAAAATTACCCAGGCATGATGGCACAAATCTGTAGTCCCAGCTACTTAGGAGGCTGAGGCAGGAGGACCACCTGAGCCTGGGGATGTTGAAGCTGTGTGAGCCATGATGGCGCCACTGCACTCCAGCCTGGGCAACAGAGTGAGACCCTGTCTAAAAACTAAAAAAATAAAAATAAAAAAAACAACCAACCAAAAAAACCCCAAGTCTTTTATTTATTTAAAAACAAAAACAAAACCAAAAAACAACGTATTTTAACACACACACAAAAGTAGAGAGAATTGTGTACAGAAGCCCACATACCCTCCACCCAGCTTCACTAGTTAACAATATTTTGCCAATCTTATTTCATCTATTTGATTCCTCCACTCTTTTTCTGGTTTTATTTTTTCTGGAGTATTTTAAAGCAATTACCAGGTTTCTCACAATTTCATTCATAAATATTTCAGTATGAGTCTCTAACAAGATAAAGACATTAAAAATATACTGATAATGCCCCGATTATAACTAACAAAATTCATAGCATTACAGATGCCTGGGCTGCAGGTGTATTTCAGCTGGCCATGGATAAACATGGTCTTTATCGTGTTATTATGTAAGATTCTCTATGGTCTTTTCAGAGCAATCAACAGAAACTTTTTTACTTTGACATAATTTCAAACTTGCGAAAGGCTTACAAGAATAGTACAAAGAATTCCCATGTAGTCTTTATCCATATTCCCCAAATGTTGACATTTTACCATATAGTGTCTATCCTTCTCTTCATATCTAGATTTATACTTTTTTCTTGAAATTGTTAGTATATTGCAAATGTGGTGCCTTTTTGTCCTTAAAAATTCTCTTAAATAACTACAGTACAACAATCAAACTCAGGAAATGAACATGGATATAGTGCTATTATCTAATCTATAGAACTTATTGAGATTTTTCCAATTGACCCAATGATGTCCTTCAGAGCAAAAGAAAATCCTGGATCATGTCAGTTATCATGTCTCTTCAGTACTCTTTGGCTTGGAACAGTTTCTGAGTCTCTTTATGTTTTATAAAATTGGTATCTTTGGAAAGTTCTGGTCAGACAT